ATTGTTGACATACTCATAAACCAAGAACCTGCAATTTTGAATATAAACATGACTACAAACTCTGTTAATAGATAATAACATCATTGGTATATAGTTAACAATTTAAGTAAGCTACCTCCAAAATATTCAAGCACAACATGACTCTGTCAATAGATAATAACATCATTGGTATACGCCTGTCCTGAAGTGAGAACGTCGGTGCCGCTTACATCTACCATGCGGAATAATATTAGCCATCTGATGCACAGACTCATCCTGATCCACTCCAGGACAAGAGTCAAAATTCACCTGATCAGCCCGGCCCTGGTTAAAACTTTTGTTGGGCCCATTTTTCCACAAAGCCCCAATCCATTCACATGTGGGCTGCTGCTGCTTGGGCTCAGGCCCCTAGAAAAAGTACTAACATGTGGGGTGATAGTATTCTGCCGTAATGTACATAACATTATGTTGGTCCTGACTTCTCATTTCACCCCTTGTTACAATTTGGGACGACCAATTAATCGTTTTGGGTGATTAAGAGAAAGGATTGCCACAATTAAAATATTAAAAATAATAATAATAAAATTTAAATATTTTGATCTCTATGCTTTCGACCTAGCGGCGGCTAAGACGCTTGATTAATGGCGATTATATCATGTGAGTTGTGCTTATGAGCCCATAGAATCTTCTTTCTTTAATCTTCATATACCGAAATATATATTAATTGCTCTCCTTCAAAAAAAGAATTTAAATATTTTTATTGAATAATAAAAGAGTATATTAAAGAAGGTTTATAAAAATGACTTGTATGTACCAAAAAAAATAATAAATAAATAAATAAAAATGACATGTAGCAAGATTTTTCTTAGTTAGTTTCTCTCTTAATAGATATATATATATAGATAAGAATTTGTAAACTAACTAATCAAAATCAAATTGAACCTCAAGTTAAATTTTTTGAATATGAATTCATAACTTTTTATCATCTGATTCATGATTCTCTAATTTTGTTGCCTGACCAGCATTGACTCCTTCCATTACAATACCTTCTAGAACACTTTCACTACAACAAAATTATCAAGTAATGATGGCTATTAATAACAGAGGCAAGTAGGACTTAGCAAAAACCCACCAATACTCCTTAAAATTAGTAAAATTGTAGTGAAATTTATTATATCATAATTTAGAGTAGATCTTTAATTTGAAATCTGAACTTATATCTCTTAACATATTTAATAATTTAATTTCCAATTGCTCATCATAAAAAACCAATGGAGTTTGGTCACCATTTTCTATTATGATTCCCTATTATCAGTTTGGTTTCAGAAAATTCTAAATTGATTTGAATTTTTTTCCATTTTAGTATTATTGTTTCCTCATCTCCTGGGCGTTGCTTGATAATATTTACAATGTGAACTTGAGTAAGTTGGGCCCAGCTTTAAGCTTTTTTATTTTTGTGTTGGATTTAAGCCTATAATATATTTTAGTTTCTTATTTTAGCTTTGATATTTTTTTCCGGTAGATGAATAGCTTGTGGTTTTTAATAGAATTTATATAATTTTTATTTTTTATGCAGAAAATGATTTGAATGCAAAATAAAAGAAGCTTTTGGACTTAATTGACTATT